ATCAGTGTAGTCCTGTTGAGGGATGAGGAGGTGTGAGATAAGGAAGAGCATATCATCTGACCATCACAGTTCACTTATACTCATGTTTAAAACTCAACAGGGCCAATGTTTGGTTAGAACACTGAAGAAAGATTCTCACATTATTAGATAGAATCCAGCCCTACACCAAGAACCCCAGAATTTTAAATATAGATGATCTTGTGATTTCAAAAACAACAGCAAAAGAAAATGTTTTATCATTGTGTTTGTGTTTCTCTAAATAGATTAAAATACAGCCTAACATTTCATTATAAATTGGAGTGTATTACATTAATTAGGGTCATAATAACAAACTTGTGTTCTCATTGTACCATTAAGAATTCATTTTGCATCCATTTTATTTTCCCTCTGAATGTTTTGGAATAATATTTTAATAGCTTAGATCATTAAATATGTATGAATGGTATCCATTATCAATGCCATCATAAAGTGGAAATATTAATTAAAATATCCAGTATAGAAAAAAATAGATATAATAAAGTAGATGGATATGTGAAAGGTAGGTGTTGATGGGGGTTATTCTGTGCCTTTGAGTCATCTCCAATTCATAGTGACATTATGTACAACAGAATGAAACACTGCCCAGTCCTGTGCCAGCCTCATGATCCCTACTATACCTGGGCCCATCACTGCAGCCACCATGTCAATCCATCTTGTTGAGTGCCTTCCCATCTTTTGTTGACCCTCCACTTTACCAAGCATGACCTCCTTCTCCAGAGAATGGTCCCTTCTGAGAACATGACCAAAGTAGGGGAGACCAAGTCTGGCCATTCTCGCTTCCAAGGAGCATTCCGGCTGCACTTCTTCCAGGACAGATTTGTTAGGTCTTTCAGTCCTTTTAGGACTAACCAAAAAAAAGAAGAAGAAAAAAAAAAAAAGTAGGTAGGTGGGTCAATATGTAGATAGAGAGATATACTCCACTGTCTGCTTTTAGTATATAACTGGCAGGTTCACTATAAGGACAGATTTGTTACCATATAATTTTTAATGGCTTCATCATTATTAAGAAAATTAAACCCAGAAAATTCTAAAGTAAAGCAAATACACACAGAAAAGGTGACGCTAATATCTTAACCCTTTCCTATTGCTAAAACGGCAAGGAGACCACATGTTCTGACCTCCTCTAACCCCACAAGAGGAAGACAGGATTACCAGCAATAACCCAAGGCCTATTACTGCAAGGCCAGACATGCTGCCTCCCTCCAGCCCTTTCACCAACCGTTCCTCCCAAAGCACCACCACCTCTCTCCTGGGTTCAATAATTCACTGCAGTGGCCACATAGAACTCATGGATTACGGGGTTTATTAGGGAAGCACCAGGCTACAACTCAAGTTCAGGAAGAATGCTCAGTCTCTCTCCCAGCCCACCGTCCCTCAGCCAACAGTCTCTCACAGTCTCTTTCCCAGCATTGCTGGTCCCTCGGTGTCTCACTCAGCGATGTGTGTCTCTTTCAGCATGTCTTCCTCAACCAGCAGTCAGAGAGAGTTCTGCCTCCAGGAGGCCTCCTTTTGAGCCCAGCAGGGTGGTCAAACTAGCCAATCATAGCATCAGAACCCTAAGTACCTGAGAGAGAGTGGGAACCTCCCAGAACATTGTATTGTGCCATGCCCAACAGAAATAACCCAGGTGGATAGCTGCAGCAATCAGGAGCTCCTCAGTTGCTCATAGCAAATCCCACCTTGGAGTTTACAAAGACTTATGGGTAGAAAAGCCACACTAATTAATTTACTACACTGCACCTATGAATAGAATATCCCTTCTGAATTCTCACAATGAAGTGAATGTTGTTACAATTCTGATTTCTGTGTATGGGACAGAATGATACAAACTTCATCTCTCTTGCATGAGTGCCAGGCAGGCTCTCAGTAAAACTGTTAAGTTGGACAAAAGTTGTTTTCTGATCGTGTTTTAAGGTGAGCCATTAATCCCTTTAGCCTCTTCCCTCTAGGTGCGCTACCACCTATGGGCCGTCCTGGTACCACAGGAAGCTAAAGCCAAAATAAATAAATATCCAAACCCATTGCCATCCAGTAAATTCTGACTCAGAGCAAGCCTGTAGGACAGGGTGGAACTTCCCCAAGAGGTTTCCAAGCTGTAATCTTTAGGGAAGCTAACTGCCACATCTTTCTCCTACAGAGCAAATGGTGGGTTTGAACCACCGACCTTTCCCTTAGCAGCTAAGAATTCCTTCACCACCAGGGCTTCTTTAAAGGAAGCTAAACCCTGCTTACAAATCCTGTCCTTCCTCTGAGTCCTCCCCTACCTTGTCCCCAGTCTTATTTTCACAGGAAGTACAGTGTGGGATATTCATGTTTTGCAAATTACAGACTTCAGGTCCCTAAGGTCTATGAGGGTTTCAGCTTCTTAGGCTTACATTTTGTTGATAACTGATGGTAATTCCCATCAGCACATTCCGGATGTGTGCATGTCCACCATGTATCAAGGACTCATGCCCTCATTATGTTTGCAAGTTGATGTAGGAAGAGCTGTTGTAGGCCCTGGGTATATTCTCACTATTCACAAAAGAATTATTTTTTTCATGAAAGAGGGATATTACCCACTTTTGAAAAGCACTGTTTTAACTAATCTGAGAAGCATTACAGTAGCAGGTTATGTATTATCTTTCCTCATTTAGCCAACAAATACGTATTGAACAAATATAGTCATTCAACAAACACATCTACTGAGCACCTGGCATTGCTCTAAGACACTTGGGATAGGAAGGTATCGGTGGAAAAAAATAAATAAATAAGGAGCTTGTCCTCTCAGACCAGATACTTTAGGAGGAAAAGATAGACATAGCAAAAAAACAAAACAAAAATGATAAATTACTCCTCAGAAGGAAGATGAGGCATTCTACTTCCATAGTGATACTGCCTCAGAAACCCAAAGAGGGGTCGCTATGAGTCGGGTCCAACTCGACAGCATGTAACAACACCAGTTAGAAGGTTATCATTTCTGTGGAAAAATTCCAGCACATTGATGTAAAATAAGACTGCTATATTGGCAAGGACCTCCAGTTCATGTTGTTATTTTCTTTGTAGGAGCTTTATTGAAATATAATTCACATCTCATACAATTTTTCCATTTAAAAAATAAAATTCAATGATTTTCGTATTTTCACAGATAGGTTCACCCTCTCTGTGGTCAAATTTAGAACAGTGTTCCTCACCTCAAAAAGAAATCCTGTATACCTTTTCCTGTTAAACTCCCAAGCTTCCATCTCCCCCAGCCCTAAGTAACCACCAATCTACTTTCTGTCTCTATAATTTAACTCTTATGATTATTTTGTGAGTGTGACTGGAACCACACAACCTGCAGTCTGTTGTGCTTGGATTCTTTCACTTAGCATATAGTTTTTGAGGTTCTTTCATGTTGTAGCATGTATTAGCACTTCATTCCTTTATATGATCAAGTAATATTCCACTGTATTAAGAAAGGAAAAAAAAAAAAAAAACCTCACTGCTATGGAGTGGATTGGGACTCTTAGCAACCCCCATTGGGTTTCTGAGGCAGTAAATCTTTCTGGAAATCATTGCCCCATTTCCCTTCCATGGAGTGGCTGGTGGGTTTGAACCACCAAACTACTGGTTAGCAGTCAAGTGCCTTAGGGGCTATGCCACCAGAGCTCCTTATATGTTATCTAGACACTTCCTTTGTTTGTTTCCAGCTGAAATCTTAAATTTAAGATGGATCTAAAATTCAAAGGACAGCAGCAGGGAGGGCATACAACTTGGAAACATTAGTATTTTGGTTTCATTCACTTACAGTAAAAATTTTCTTTGTGTGAAAAAGAACACTAAAGTTCAATATATATGTGTGTGTGTGTGTGTGTATATAATATAGATAGATAGATTGTTAACAATCATATAAGCATGTAACATTCTTTGGTCTTTAAATGAAACACTGGTGGTGCAATGGTTAAAGCACTTACTGCTAATCTGAAGGTCAGAGGTTCAAACCCACCAGCTGTTCCACAGGAGAAAGATGAGGCAGTCTGCTTCTGTAAAGATTTACAGACTTGGGAACCCTATGGGGGCAGTTCTACCCTGTCCTCTAGGGTCACTATGAGTTGGAATAGACTCAACGGCTATGGGTTGGGCTGGGAATCTCCATATTCTCATTGTGAGCAACTGTCCTGTTTTCCTAGATCTTCTATGATGAATATCCTTATATCAGTTCTTCTGGTTTCTCATTTAGCTTCTAGTATCTTTGAAATGTTTCCCTATTAAGCATAATTTTAACATTTTGTACATCAATCCTGCAAACCTTTAAGATTCTGGTTAAGTTGAATAAATCTAAGGAATGAGAAGCATGCTTTTCCTTTTGTTCCTCCGTCTGCTTCATGCCATGTGTATATGGCATATTTTTATAAAAAGAAATGTCTAAGACACCCTTCATAAAGTTAAAATCACCTTTCTAAAACCTCATAGCTTGGAAGGAAATGCATTTGAATTTTTATTGTAGGATATTAAAGCAAGTAAAGGTAGTCAACGCTAAAGAGAACACTCATTTGTTTTCTCTTTCCTTTTTTATCCTTAATTCAATTCAGTGTGATTACTTGGAGCAAATATTTCATGTGAAAAATATGTTTTGGTTCAGATGTTGTTATTCCTTGCTGTCAAGTCCACTCTGGCTCGTGACAGGCATATATATCACAGACCAACACGTTGCCCAATCCTACCCCTCTTCAGGATCATTGCTATGCTCTGAGTCCATTGTAGTGGTGGTTGTGTGAGCCTGTCTCACTGAAGGTCTGCCCTCCTTCTCACTCACTCTGTACTGGACCAAACACAATGTCCTCTTTTTCTGGTGATTGCTCTTTCCTGATGAATTTTCCAAAGAAGGTGAGCCAAGGTCTCACTATTAGCTACTAAGGAACATTCTGGGTGTTTCTCTTGTCAGACTGATTTGTTTGTTCCTTTTCTCTAAAGCAAGAGTGATGTCTTTGATCTTTCAGATAAGGAGACAAGGAGGCATACAGCTCCTGGTGGACCTGCTGGATCATCGGATGACCGAAGTCCACCGTAGTGCCTGTGGAGCTCTGAGGAACTTGGTGTATGGGAAGGCCAATGATGACAATAAAATTGCCCTGAAAAACTGCGGTGGCATCCCGGCACTGGTGAGGCTGCTTCGCAAGACAACAGACCTGGAGATCCGGGAGCTGGTCACAGGTTAGAGAGTGCTGTTAACACCATGGTTGTTTCTCAGGATCAGTGTTTCACTACCCAGCATGTTAGCAAATGTGCAGATTAAGTATTATGTATGGCCAGGCCCTTTCAGATTGCTAACATCCCAGGGGCCCTCATTATGTGTTAGCAAGTGAACAAACAAGTGCATAAATGGTGTCAAATATAAAGCACATGTATTGATCATTCTTAAAGAGTTAGAATCAAATAAACATAACCCTAACTAAAAATCTCTGATTGTATTTCAGTGTTTGGCAGTTGACTTAGAAGTAGTTGAGCTTCTTACAATACCCAGGGGTTATCATTAGAATAATATTAATAATAATATTATGAGGACACGGTGTGTGGAGTATTAGTGGAGTCTTGATTGTTGCCATTGTGGGCCATGTAGTCGATTCTGATTTGTGCACAATAGATGTATTGGTAATACGGTCTAGATTCTGGTTTGCAGTGTGGTTCACAGCAGAGAGTTTAAGGTAATTACTTGAATAAAGTATATATGCCTATTAAAAGTCAGAAAGTTTTATAGTTACATATTAAAGAGGTTTACAAAACAGAATATGAAAGAAAGCCTTTCTGTGACCATGAACGTTTGAGTTTTGTCCCATGGTTATACTGATGGTACCCACCTCACAGAGCTGTGAGGATTTGATAAGTGGGACTATGTCAGTTACTTAGCACATATCGTCCTTGGAATAAGTGTGGAAACAATAAGTGGTAGCAATTAGCTAACATCCCTCCCTTTTGAAATGTATGTTTTCACCTGTTGGAGTGCTAATTACATAAGTGGTTGCAATATATGATTTCAAATTACTATACTGTTGACTCTCCTTCATTATCCTCATTGCTGCTCAATGTGTTATTTGTTTTAGGGGTCATCACAGTAGCCCTTTGAGCAAATATTTGCCAAATGGATTGCAAAGTTGACTCTCAAAAATGATCTTTTAAATATTGATGATTGCACTGACCGCTCACCTCAACTTAAAAATTTCCTTGAAACTATGCTTATGAGGAATATGTGGTTTTGTTTATTTAAGAAAAAAACACTGCTTAAGCCAGTGAGTCAGAAGTGTTTGTTCTATCCTTGAGTCAAGGCTCCCAGCTTTAGCATATCTTCTTAAGATTATTGGCAAGAGCAGTAGTAGCACAGTGGGCAAGCACTCAGCTGTTAACCAGAAGGTCGATTCTTGGAGCCCACTAATTGTTCTGGGGGAGAGAGAATAGGCAGTCTATTTTCATAAAGATTTACAGCCTTGAAAACCCCGTGTGTGGTTCTACTCTGTCCCGCAGCGTCTCTATGAGTTGGAACCCTCTCAGTAGCAAAATAAATATTCTTGTCACAATTCCTTATCACTCTTAGTAAAGTTGGAACAAGACCCCAGCCTGTTTTTTTCATTTTTTTTTTTTTTTTCTTTTTTCATTCTTTCTGTGAAGTAGAGAATTGTCTTTGTGGGGGTAAAAACTGTGGGGCAGAAAAACATTTAGTAATATTTTACACCAAACAAATGTAAGGTGACATGGATCAGGTAATGTAAAATTGTTATTATCACCATATTATGATCTCTGGCATAGTTTGGTGGTGAGTTAAATAACTGAAAAATATACTCTGCTATTATATAACAACAACAACAACTTAAATTGGAAGTGCCTGTGAAATAAAGAACATCATGGAAACCAAACATGATGATGCTTCTTTTGTGTTAAGATCCAGCCAGTGGCTACATGGTATCAACAGAACTGAAGGAATATCTTCTGTCTTACACCTTAAGCCTCTTTGTCATGATTTGAAAAGACGGGTTTTATCAAAATTTAAATTTGCTCCAATGTAGAACCCTTTTCTGCAGCCCCCACTATGTTGGTCATCTCATGACTAAGAAAACTCAGTCACATGCTGAAGGTTGAGATGATTGATGGCTAAAGATGGGAAGGAAATGGAAGTGTTGCCTCTGCCTTGTGACATCTCCCACCGCAGCGTGGCCCATGCTGCTTGTCACATGTGAAGTGACTATAAAGGAGCAGACAACTACTCCATTCCCTTGATTGCTGGTTAGAGAGATCCTGGATGGTGCAATTACATATACCTGAATGTGATGCATATACACCTAAGTAATGTCAGAATTTTCTATGGGAGCCTCTTTTGGACACTTCAAAGGTAGATGCCTTCTTCACAATGCCAAGAAGATTTTTTTCCCTAATAGCCTGTTAGCTATAGGAAAGATGTTTATACTCGATATATAAACAGGAGTATACCTCTGTGGTACTCCTTCTTTTGAGAAGAACCAAGCTTTGCACCCATGGTCACGTCATGATGTGATGTTTATCAGCAAGGCTGGTGGCTGAGACTCCCTCCATCTCCCCTCATAGAAGAAGTGCTGTCTTCTGTCACAGACACCTCCCAAACCATCAGAGTCACAGTGAGTGTTACCTGGAAAGGAAAAGTGATGAAGAGTTACTGTGCTTGCCACTTGAGTAGATGTTCTGCACCTTCTCAGAGGTAGGATCGTCTTGAGTTTGGATGAACTGGCATGAATTTCACATGTAAAAAAAAAAAAAATGTTGTCAGAAAATTTTGACAGGGCGAAGTTCATGGTTTCTGGAGTTGCCATCAGGATACTGTTGAAAAATAAGAACCTTGACCAAGCTACCACTCTAGAAAAAGAAGTCAGCAGTAGACATCTAAGAGAACATTTCTGTAAAGAATAAATTGCTGCTGTGAACAGAGTTTCTTCTCATTCTGTAGTATCCATACTGGCAGAAACCAGAGGATGCCTGGAAGCCTGTAGGACTCTTGTTACTTCTGTTTTGACACACCATCAGCAATGCACATCTAACCAAAGGAGCACTTCCCATGCTTGCCTGGCAAGTGAGCTGTGAATGTTTGGATTCTGTTGTCTCTGGCAGTTTGGGCATCTGGATTTTATTTAAGAAATATAGCCAGAATGCTCCTCCTTAGAGGGAAAAAAAATGGCCAGGCTTCATCTCACCTACTTTTCTCATGTTCTCAGAAGAGCCCATTCTCTGGAGAAGAATATTACGCTTTGTAAAGTAGAGGAGCAGCGAAAAAGGGCAAGACCCTCAATGAGATGGATTGTCTCACTGGCTACAGTGATGGGCACAAGTATAGCAAGGATTGTGAGAATGGTACACAACTGGGAAGTGTTTCATTTTGTTGTATGTAAGGTCACTGTGAGTTGGAATTGACTCAATGGCACCTAAATGAACCTGGTTCAATTTCAGAGTAATCCGTTTATCTCTTCCATTCTTTTTCCACTCCTGCTCCAAGACTCTTGTCAGACCAAGTCTGATGAACTTACTGGTACAATAATCCATCCTTGAGAGTCCAGGCACTTCCTCTACTCTTTTAGTCACTTGTTTAACAAATACCTTTAAATTTCTACAGGGTGTCAGATGCTGTACAAAAATGCTGTACATCTTCACTCATGGGTTTGATGTTCAACTAACCTCATGGGCAGAGCCACTTTGATACTATGCCAGCATGCCTAGCGATGGGTCAGAGCCCTGTTCTGAATGTTTGGCTCCTGAGTACTGTTGTTATTGTCAGCTACCATCACACTAACCCCTGACTCATGGTGACCCCATGTACAATGGACCCAATGCTGCTAGGTCCTTACTGGCTGTTAAACACTTAGACTGATGTTCCTGAAAAGTGTGTTCACATTTTAGAAACTTAACACATGAGCAGCAAGGGAGTCAGAGCTCTGGAGGATGGAGGATGAGAGTGTAAGAGTGAAAACCATGGCTCCACTTGTATTGTGCTTGGACCCTGTTCTGGAATTTGGTTACATATCTGTACATGAGTGAAATGAAACAATGACTTCAATGCACTAACTGTGCCTGCCTTCCTTCATAATGCTCCAGAGTATACAATAGAGGTCAGCAAGAAGTGCCACTTCAATGCATCTCAGGGAGACCCACGAGAACACAAGCATTCTTCTGTTGAGTTTTCTTTGCAGCCTGTTAGCAGACACAGGAAAATAAATGAGAAACAAAAGAAAAGAAAGTGGGAGAGGGATAACATTCCTTTCTGAATTCCTCTCTAGATGTTTCCAAAGTAGGATGTTTTGTAAATAAATTTTTAAGAGAACCAGTTTAGTGATATCTTAAAAAACACAAATCATGATGTTTTCAAAAATTCACCACACTTTAGATTAGACCTAGGCTTTCTATCCAGCACAACTGATAGTATTAAGAACACTGAATTACAAATAATAGAAGACAAAAATAAAGAAATGATCCTGCAAATGATTTAGATTGTTTATTGACTATTGCTTGGTAGACTGTTTGAACAATAATAAGAGGTTGAAATCGAGGTATTGACATGCATTTACATTCAACACATAGACATTCGTGCTTGAGAAGACAGCTTCCTGTTTGCACTGCAGGGTCTTTTTCAGAGCATAACATATTCAGCCATTGCCTGTTAGGCCTTTCAATAAATAATTTCTTCCTTTGCAATAATTGCTATGAAATGATGGTCAGAATTTTATTTAAATCCAGTTGAAGTTATTATATGCTACCCATTACTTGAAATGCTCCTAACAAGTAAACTTTGATTAGAAATGCTGCATGTCTGTTGAACTTGACTAATACATTTTTTCTCTCCCTGAATGTAGAGATAATCAACCTAAACTTTTAAATGCCTGGCCAAAGATTTCAGGATGTTTCATAAATCATAATAAAACCATTTTTATTAAAACATAAAACTTAGTAAATGGAAACATGGAAATCAAATTAGGATTTCTACTTCTGTAAGAATAGAGTCTTTCATTTTAGCACCACATACTCAAATTGTCTCTCCTTTTAAGTAAGAAGACAGGTCTCATTTTCGCTATTTTACTAATTAGCATTATTGTTGTTAGTTCCGTTGAGTTGGCTCTGACTCATGGCGACCCCATATATCACAGAAAGAACTGATGCCCGGTCCTGCACTGTCATGATCGTTGCTGTGCTCAAATCCATCATTGTGGCTGTTTTGTCAGTCCATTCCACTGATAGGTGCTATCATGTTCATTGGCCCTCTCCTTGACCATGGAGACCCTAGATAGCACAAACAGTTAGCAGTCAACTATTAGCCAAAAGATTGGTCTTTTGAACACACCCAGAAGTGCCATAGAGGAGCCTTGACAACCTGCTTCCAAAAAGTCAGAGCCAAGGAAACCCTATGGAGAACAGTTCTACACATGGGGTTGCCATAAGTCAGAATCGAGTCGACACAACTAATGACAGCAGCAACTATTACTTTACCAAATATGTTCTTTTCTAGAAGTTGGTCTTTCCAGATGACTTGTCCAAAGTCAGCTAATAAGGGAAAACCCTTATTAGCATTTAAAACCAACCAACCAACCTGTTACCGTTAAGTCAACTGCAACTCATAGGGACCTTATAGGACAGAGTTGAACTGCCCCCTAGGTTTTCCAAGGTTGTAAATCTTTAGAGAAATGGGCTAACACATCTT